ATATTCATGACATGTGTCATGTCATGATTATGTAGGTGTCATGTCATGATTATGAAGGTGTAACCAAAAAAAGTATGTATTTACATAGTAACTAAAGTATGTATTTCCTATGGAGGGCCACATTACTCAAAATTAAATCATTTAATACATTTTGAAATATATAAATAAATCGTTAAATACATAATTAAATACATATATAAATATATCAAGTCGATTACAATTTTTAATCTAATTAATTACATAATGTGTCGATTAATTAATCGAATTAATCGCAAAATTAATTTGACTGAAAATACACACAAAAGATTATTTAAAGCTATTTAGATAAATGGATAGATAGATAGATAGATAGATAGATAGATAGATAGATAGTTAATGGTTTAATTTTGAGTAATGTGGCCCTCCATAATTTCCACAGTAAGCAATGGAAATTGGATATGAGGGATGCTTTCAGGAATAATATGCATAGTAAAATACAGGTCTGAACCCCCAGTCTTAACGTTGCGAGCTTGATCAACGACTTGAGTCAGACTCGAACACCGTGCATGCGTGCGTTAAATGCGGTGTGTGTCTCTTTAAGAGCGCAGGTGAAGGGTGTGGTCAAACAGCAATTTCAAAGTTTCCGGGAAAGAAAGTAAGTAAACAGGTTGAAGATGGACATGAATCAAACGTGACACAAAATATACAAGATTCGAAGCCCAAAGCGAGTTTCGAACGGTCGCGATTTTATCTGAATGATTTCCGGTTATTTATTTAATTCATAGAAAAGGGTTTGATGCGTTTGCCGGGAAACAAAAGGAAGCAAACGAATTTGCCAAGGAAAATATTTTATCCCATAATCTGAAGGGATATCCTTACAATCCTAAAATGTTAATATCTGCAATAGTTCTACATCTGCTTCTTCTGTCACATCAAACAGGTGAGTTGACAGGAACATCTATTCTGGTTTCACTTTTATATGAGATATTATGCTGAGCTATTGTTATGTATTTTATATAGATACTACATAGTCATTTGCTATAGTGTTTACATGGTGCTCCAGGGAATATTCAAAAATACCATGGTGCATGTTCAAACCCCATGGACGTACCATAGTACTTTTTTTTGTAAGTGAAACCATTGCACAGAATGATATTGACACAACATCTAGTACCAAGGTGTTACAATTGCACCGTATTCAAAAAACATGGTATTACCACAGTACTTTTGCTGCATGTTTGTAAGTGATCACAGTACTGCTTTCAACCACATTTCTCTGTCCTTCTTCCTGTAGTTTCAGAGGAGCAGGTGCAGCGGTATGTTACTGGAGAGAAGGGTGAGAATACTACACTACAGTGTCTTGACCAGCCAGTTAATGCGTCTTCACTTCTATATCGTTGGAAGAAAAATGGGGCTGTTGTTGCAACCCAAAACCCCTCGAAGCCATCAGAGCATCTTTCCATTTCAAACAATGGCTCTCTTTGGATCAGTGACCTTCAGTATATAGATGAAGGCCAATATGAATGTGAATCCCAAACAAAGGATGGCAGCTCATGGCAAACTCTCTCAAACATCCTGCTTCGAGTTGCCGGTATGGTGCTATGGATATCTAAGTCGTACTAAAGCGACAATGGAAAGCTTTGATATGCAATAGATGTCTCTGGTTTCTGTGAGATCGGGAGTCCGACTTCAAACTGGTTTTTCTGGTTTAACTGCAATGCATGAACCTAGAAAACCACCACCATGTGACTTAGATGCGTAGGATAGACACCATGCATAACGACTAACCGAACACAACAATTACAATTACATTGTAGTTCCTCTTAACATTTTTTAAAGTTTGGGGTCAGGAAGATTTTTGAAATAAAACGAATATTTTTCTTTAGCGAGGACTCTTTAAATGAATCAAAAGTGATCGTAAAGAAAAATCCATTTCAAATAAATGCTTTTTGTAAACCTTCTATTCATCAAAGGAATGTATCACATTTACCAGGAAAATATGAAGCAGGTACAACACCACTGATAATAATCAGAAATGTTTCTTGAGCAGCAAATCAGCATGATTCATGAAGGATCATGTGACACTGAAGACTGGAGTAATGATGCTGAAAATTCAGTTTTGCATAACAGGAATAAATTACATTTTAAAATATATTAAATTAGATTAGCTATTTAAAATTGTATTAATATTACACTAATATTTTTACTGCATTTGATCAAATAAATGCAGCCTTGATGAATATGAGACTTCTTTCAAAAACATTTTAAAAAATCATACTGATCCCAACCTTTTGAACAGCAGTGTATATGTGTTATTGAAATTTAAAATGCTCAGTTGATATGTAATATTTTAATAACCGCTGCTGTTCATTAATTCTGAAGTTCTAAAGAAACATTTTTGATGATAATTGAAATGACAGGTGGTTTGTGAGAGTGGAATGAATAATTATTTATGTTTGTGCATTTGTATTATTTCAGAGGGTCCAACTAGCATCTCACTGGCTATAAAACCAGCAACTCTCCTACAGAATGGAACATTATATGTCACAAAAGGTTCATATGTGTATTTTAACTGCTCCAGTGAGTCTTTTCCCTCTCAAAACTTGACATGGACTGTTGAAGATTTGGCGCTGGACAGTTATGACAGGGCGTCTGGGAACAAATCGTTC